ATCATTTCTTGTCAGGTTAACTATGGTCTAACCCTAGCCCATTACCTTCCAAGATTGGGAAATGCAGCACAGATTTTGAAATATTAAAATCATATTTATGATACTCTAATAATACAGGGTCACTGTGAGTTGTAATTAACTTGATGTCCATGAGTTTAATAAAATTTTTGGACAGAAGAACTCATTTTTAAAGGCTCTTGGATTTAAAGGGTAATAGAATGAGTAGACTACTATAAACAAAATGGTTAACTTTATTTTGCTATTCATGTAAGGAGTAGGAAGCAGCCTTTCTAAAAGGGTGAAGCTATATAAGGACACACATACACCCTATGGATTTCAGTTAATATCAGTCAATATTGGTATCATTAATTGTAACAAATATACTAAGTTGTAATTGAATATTACAAACTAATTTTAACTAACCGTGCTATACTACTAGTATATGTACTATACTAAACCCTCTACTTTGAGTGAATTCCTCCTTATTGACTCTAGAGAACATAGTAGAACTTCTCCCTGGGTTTCCAAGGCTCTCAATCTTCATACAACATACTTCTCATTTTTCTCCAGATGAGAGGTTGGTGGATTTGAACTGGGAACCTTTCAGTTAGCAGCCCATTACTAAACCCACTGTGCCACAACAAAACACTGCCATCAAGTCAATTCTGACTCCGAATGACCCTATAGGTTTCTACAACTAATAAATCTGTCCAGGAACAGAAAACCTCATCCTTCGCCCATCCAGTGGCTGGTGGGTTTCAACTCTCTACCTTGCACTTAGCCTTCGCCCATCCAGTGGCTGGTGGGTTTCAACTCTCTACCTTGCGCTTAGCCTCCAATGCCTGAAGCACAGCCCCAAAGGGCTTCTTACCTGCACTGTAGTCGAATGTTAATTTTAAGGGAAACTGAGTGGGTATACCTGGGAACCTTATAGTATCTGGACCATTCATTCTGTGAATCCAATACTCTTCCTTTTAAAAGTTTATCTTTTAAAAGGCAGGTTAAAGGACAGAATTATGATGGTTCCCTACCTTCCTTTTTTTTTTTTTAAGTTTGGCAGGTATATCTTTTTTTTTTTTTTTTTAAAATTTTATTAGGGGCTCATACAACTGTAATCCCAATCCATACACACATCAATTGTGTAAAGCGCATTTGTACATCATTTCTCAAAACATTTTCTCTCCATTTAAACCCCCGACATTAGGTCCTCATTTTTCCCCTCCCTCCCCGCTCCCCCCTCCCGCATGAGCCCTTGATAGTTTATAAATGGGTATTTTGTCATATCTTGCCCTGTCCGACGTCTCTCCTCATCCACTTTTTGGTTGTCTGTCCCTCAGGGAGGAGGTCACACACAGCTCCATGTAATCGGTTCCCTCCCTCCTACCCACTCTCCCTTTACCTCCCTGTTTTGCCACTCACACCACTGGTCCTATAGGGCTCATCCGTCCTGGATTCCCTGTATTTTCAGTTCCTATCTGTACCAGTGTACCTCCTCTGGTCTATCCAGTCTTGCAAGATAGAATTCAAGCCATGGTAGTGGGAGCAGGGAGGAAACCCCTAGGAACTAGAGGAAGGCTGTATTTCTCATCATTGTTACATCGCACCCTGACTGACTCATCTCCTCCCCGAGACCCCCCTGCAAAGGGATCTCCAGTGGCCCACCAACGGGCCTTGGATCTCCACTCCGCACTCCCCCTATCACTCACCACGGCAAGACTTTTTATTCTGATGATGCCTTACACCCGATCCCCTCGACACCTCGTGGTTGCACAGGCTGGCGTGCTTCCTCCATGTGGGCTTTGCTGCCTCTGAGCTCGATGGCCGCTTGATGGCAGGTATATCTTAATGTCCTGTTGTTAGTTGCTATTGAATTGATTCCGGACTTATGGTGACCCAGATGCGTGGCAGAGAACTGTGTCTTAGGGCACTCAAGGTGTGGCTTTCAAAGCAACTTGGCATCTGCCTGTGTCCTTTGATGTAGATTTCAAATTTTGTAGCAGTTTGTATACTCACTACTCAACAGTCATGGTTGTTTTTTGTTTTCTATTTAAAAAAAATTTTTTTAATTCTAATCATTTTATTGGAGGCTCTTACAGTTCTTATAACAATCCATACATCAATTGTGTCAAGCACATGTGTCCATATGTTGCTGTCATCATTTCCGAAATTTTTTCTTTCTACTAGAGCCCTTGGTATCAGCGCCTCTTTCCCTCACTCCCTCCCTCACCCTTCCACGCTCACGAACCCTTGATAATTTGGAAATTATTTTTATTTTCATATTTTACATCGTCTGCTGTCTCCCTTCACCCACGTTTCTATTGTTTGTCTCCCTGGTGTGTGGGGGAGGGTTGTATGTTGATCATTGCAATCCGTTCCCCCCTTTTCCCTCTTCTCCCCTCATCTTTGCCGTGGTATTGGTCCTGAGGGGTTTATCTGCCCTGAATTCTGTGTGTGCAGAGCTCTTATCTGTACCAGTGTACATACTCTGGTCTAGCCAGATTTGTAAGATAGAACTGGGGTCATGATAGTAGAGGGTGGGGTGGAGGAAGCATTAAAGAACTAGAGGAATGTTGTGTGTTTCATCATTGCTATACGGCACCCTGGCTGTCTCATCCCTTCTTTGTGACCCTTTTGTGAGGGGATGTCCAATTGTCTACAGATGGGTTTTGGGTTTCCATTCTAAATCCCCCTTGTTAGCATAGAAATGGTTGTTTGCTTTGAGTCTTCTGATCTTGTTGACACCTCGTGATCACACGAGTTGGTATGCTTCTTCCATGTGGGCTTTGTTGCTTCCCTGCTATATGGCTACTTGTTTAATTTCAAGTCTTTAAGACCCCAGATGCTATATCTTTTAGTAGCCAGGCACCATCAGCTTTCTTCACCACATTAGTTTACGTACCCATTTTGTCTTCAGCGATCATGTCAGGAAGATGAGCATCACAGAATGCCAACTTATTAGAACAAAGTGTTCTTGTGATGAGGGAGGACTTGAGTAGAGGCCCAGTGTCCACCTGCTACCTAAAATTTAACCTAGAAATATAAGTACATAGACCTATATCCCTATCATTATATATTAATATATTTACATATGTACATGCCTATGTGTATACCTCTATAAATGTCTTTTGCCTCCTAGTTCTTTCCTCTATGTCTTTTGTTTTCACTTTCTTCCTGTCCCACTATCATGTTCAACCTTCATTCGGCTCTCAGTAATTCCTCTTGGGTACATTTACTTCTGCCAAACTGTATCCAACAACATTTTAAAATGAGGATTTATCACTCAGATTTTTTGATTCCTTGGCACTTATTCATCAATAGACTCTTTATTTTGTTTGCAATTCTGAAAATAGTCCTGTTAAGAGAAACGTGAATACTTACAAATAGTTTCTCATTTGACTCCTGGCGATTCCACGGGTTTCCCTGCAGGATTATGATTTTTGACATTGTGCTGCTCTTGTGGTTCTGCTGTCACCTTAGAAGGGATTTTGAAGAAATAAGACTTAAATATGACAGTCTATATTGTCATCAGGAAGATATATAAAATTGGATCATTCTAAATGTCTTCATGAATATTTGTGTTATTTTAAATGAAAACCTCTTGGCAATATTAATTTTGAAGTATGCTCACAACATTAAAATCTAATGATAGTTTGAAAAACTCATTTATTAAAGAACACAAGATGACTTATGGGATATAGCAGTAAACTAAAGTTTTCCCCCTGTTTTATTAGATTTTCTTTGATCTTCAATATTTCCTTTAAAATTTCCTTTGTAAATGATGGAATTGTATATCATTATTTTAATAACTGTAAGCTGTATCAGATCAGGTAGCTTCTGAAAGTTACTTGACAGGTAAATAACAGATACATTTGCTTATAAAAGGGGGAAAAAGCCATACTGTGATTAAAAGAGGGAGAGAAAGATTAGAACAAAGTGATTCAGAGTAGCTGGAAGAAAAGTGGTGAAAGCATTTTCATTTGGTGTTCAAAGCCAGGTAACTAAGTAAGTGAAGCATTTTAAGGAGAAAGTAAGATTGTGGTAGGAATTACATTCTATGGGAAAAGCTTTGTAGTGGAATGGAGTAAAGTTCAAGAAGCAAGTCAAGTGACTTAAATGTGATGAAAGTTCATAGAAAAAGTCCCTTATCTTATAATTCCATTTTTCCACAAAGTTTTTTGAAGACCTTTCATACTCATTTCTCAGAGTTCTCAGAAAAATCGTCTAGGGATAAAAGGGCTCTCCATAACTTTAAGTGAAAATATGTTCAGGGCTACCAGATCTCTCTTTTTAATTGTTAGTTCATGGAGAAGTTAACTTGAAAATAGTATAGACGCGTGGGTTTTAATGGTAATAACAACTTTGCAGGATTGAAGTTGTCATGAATCAGAATAAACCCAACAGCAGCGAACAGCCACCATCATTGTCATGAACTGTTTCCCCAACCTTGATATTCCTGTGCTTTCTGATAATGAGGGACTTATCGTGCGCTTTTTGTCAGAAGACAGATTTCAGAAGAGAATGCTGTGAACAAACAGTGTTGACTTTGTCTTTGTATAAGTCAGAATTTTTGCAAATATTATTAAATTAGGGAAAATTAAAAGTTATTAGACCTATTGTGCTATTGGTTTACTCTCCATGGACTCACAGTCTGTCATATTGAATGGCTCTTGATTAATTATTTCATGAGGAAATATATATATATGTGTGTGTGTGTTTAATTATACATTGGAAATGATTCTTGATGAGTAGCATGTATCATGCCTTTCATTTTTTTTCTCCTGTAAATTTTTATAGCAGTGTTTTATAAGAAAATATACACAATTTTATTGAAAAATATTCTGTTAAAAATATAGATGTCTAGCTATGGCTGGTTTAGGTTAATGGTGAGTGAGATTTTTTTTCTGACCATTTAAAATGGATGTCCTATCTTGCATATTTGCATAGATATAAATGGTGTGAGAGACAAACACACATATGTATTCATATACTCTCTTTTATAGGCTTCTCAACAGCCATCTTTTTCAAGCTTAGAAACCTTAATGGTGTCACAGAAGTCTGAAATTGAGTATTTACAGGAGAAACTGAAAATGGCAAATGCAAAGCTATCAGAACACAGATCTGCCAACAGAAGCTTCTTAGGCAGCATCATGGTGAGTACTGAAGGAAAACATAAGGTAGAAACACTTTCATTCTCTAAATTGGGCCAAATGAGGGTAGCAAGTCAAGAGATGGGGAGACTTGGAAAACAAACCGCAAAATTACTTCTCTGCTGATAATCCTGGAAGCTTTTTAGAAAGCAAATACCCGAAAAGCCAACTGTTGGAAGCAGGAGGTTTTCCTTGTAGAGACTGGATACTCTTGCCCTGATGTAAATTAATTGCATGATTACTAGCAATATACCTATTATGCCAGGAAACTAACAACTCTTAGGTAAAAATGTTCTGGTAAGTGTCATTTGCATTGCTCATAAAACTCTTTTTGAAATGATATTAGTTAATAGATCAATATCTATTTTAATTAAAAGCAAAATATGCCCTGCTGTATTCTATTTTGTTTAGTTCAGATATTTATAATAATGCAGTATGTAACAGAGTACATTTTAACATTAATATGTGCACATATTACAAACTTTCATAGATTTTAAGGGATAACAGTAGAGAAAACTAGGTAACTTTTGCCCATATATTAACATTGTTTTCCATTTTTCCATTTGTAGTATTCATTACTTATTTGTATTATGCTATAAAATATTCTATGGAAGGTTGACTAATGTAAAAATTTCACATCACATTGTAAGTACAACATATTTCTAACAGTAAGGAGTTTTATACCTATTTTTCTCACACTTGTTATGTCAGCAATAGAGTTAATCCTTTCAAGTAGGAAACCATATTTTAAAGATAATTGTTTTCAGTCCATGTCACTTTTCCCGATGAACAGAAGCATCTACAATGATATCCAGGTTTCTGTGGTATTCTCAATTACTCCTTTTAACATTACCAGTAATCTTCAAAGAAAAGAGACTTTTTAAAAATTAAAAACTTTTTTAACCTTTTTAAAAAACCTAAGTGCATTATTTACTTCTTGCCATTTTGTTGCAATTTCAGAACCATTCAGCTTTATTTAAATAAAGGAAAACATTCCTAGAATTGAGATACAATATTATGGGGCCTTCTGTATTTTCTTGCTTGCTGCATTGCAGAAGCTTAAAAATGGTAGTGCTTTTGATGTTTCATTGCTTTTAATAAAAGTCAAGCAAATGAGAGAATATTCTGAACCAAATTTTTATTTCCTTTTCATAAGGACATGCAGTAAGTATGAGCAATATGTTGCCTAGTTTAATAGTTGCTTTCACATATTCTTCACCAGATTGGTATATGAAGCTGTACATAATATAAACACACATTCTTGTCTCTGGTTAGCCACATTATAGTTAATGACCAGATGGTCATTATGGTGTAAGATCTACTGTCTGTTGTATTTATATTCCTCAAGCATATTGTTCCTTCAACTTCACAGTGTGTTAAACTATTTCAAAGGGAAAAAAATCCTTTCCCTCTTGTTTCTGGTTGTCCTATCAAGTGTAACCTTGGACCCTTATAGAGCAATTAGACCAGCCTCTATCCCCTCCTTTGTAATGAGGTTTCTTGCATTTCTGAGTCTATAACCCTTTAGTCTCCCCTAATGGGACATCATTATTCTGAAAGAAACAATGTAAATGTAAATGAATATTCTCATTAACGAGTCACAGAGAAACCTTTAGCGGTAGCACTGTGGTAATTCCGCTTGTTATTTCTCTGGTATTCCATGCAGGATTTTTTTTTTTATAATTCATTATTAGTATTCAAAATTACTTGTTCTTTAATTTTGCATGTCTTTCATAATCCAGTGTTCCACTAGTTCAACCATGCCCTTGCTTTATTCTCCAGGAGCCACCTGGGAAACGCTCCCGGTCTCTATCCCCGAAGAGGCCTCTCCCAGATGTGGAGGTGCTCAGGAAGCTGAGGACAGCTGAAAGAAAGATCGAGAACTTGGAGAAGACACTGCAGCTAAAGGTGAATGCTAAGACACTGCGTTAGTAGTCACCTTGCAAAGATAAAGGTTTACCAAGCAAACATGCTTTCACAAAAGACTGTGTGTCCTTTATCATTAGTGACTTGAATTACCTGTGTAGAAGGATCTAATCAGTTGGTCTTGCGTTTAAGATTTCTGAGGCACACGAAGAGATAAAAAGCATTTGCTACCTGCAAATAAAGTGCTTATTATACACCACTGGAACATTGTTTTGGAAATAGATTATAATTGGGAGTTCATTTTTTGTAGATTCACAGTCCCCCATTCCCATCCTACCTGAACCCCGAAAAAAAAAATCTAAGTGAAAATGGAATTTCTTGTGGTTCTTTGTAAGTGAAAAAAAAGAAAACATTAAAAGTTAAAACTACATTAAACTGTCTAAATCAATCATTTATAATTATTGTTTATAGACAAATTCTGTAATCAAAGTGGCAAACGTAAAGATTGGTTGTCCAGTTCCACTGACTTTGCCCCAGAGCCTGTGAGCCAGTCCTCCAGCGGGCTTCCAGGAGCATACAGTCGACAGGCTGGTCTCTGAGAGCTACTGCTTCCTGAATCATACTGTGTGGTTCTGTGCTCCCAGAGCTAACTGTGTATGTGTGCTGAACCAACTGTATGGGCTTACAGTGGTGCAGTGGGGTAAGCATTGGGCTGATAACCACAGGTTAGTGGTTCAAACCCACCAGCTGCTCTGTGGGAGAAAGATGAGCCTCACTGCTCTTAAAGACTGACAGTTTGGAAAACCCTATAGAGCAGATTCAGTCTTCCTTATTCAGTTCTTTTAAGTTGGAATCAACTTGATAGCAAATGGTTTATCCACATATTTAGGCCTTTTCTTTTCTCCTGAGTCTAATATTGCTGAGTTTCACATTTTTCTTTCACAGCTACTGAAGCCCTGCCTTTCCCAAGGTTCAGTCAACTTATTGAATGTGAAATATTTAAATGACATTCTGCAAACCCAACACTTTACCAGAAATCTAATGGCTAGATGACCTCAGGTGGAAAGCATTTCTCCTGAAGCTTGAAATTATGGAACTCAGATACACATCTGGGTTATTTGCTCATTTAGGTCTTGACTCAATGACCATTTACCGTGCATTATAATTAACCAGGCACTGTGCTCATCACTTGCTCTATAATAGGGGACAAGACATGTTTCTATCCTTTAAGAGCCAGTCTTTCTCTGATTAAGAAGGTAGTGAGATGTTGCAGTCCGTGGATCCCTAGCAGTGCCATGATGAAGTGTTCCACTGCTAACTTGCAAGGTCATTCATTGGTTTCAACCTCCCCTGCAGTTTCTCAGGAGAGCTGGTCCGTTATCTGCTTCCATAAAGATTACAGACTAAGAGACATGTTCTGCTCTGTCATAGAGAGGCATTGTGAGTCCGAGTTGGCTGGACACCACACAATAAAACCAGTTCAAATCCACTGTATTAAGTGGAAAAATGTGGGTGGTTGTGCGCCGTCAATTTGATTCCAGCTCACACGGACCCCTGTGTGATCGAGTCTAGCTTGGGTCTCTTAGAATGTACTCCTCATGGGAACAGATCCCCAGTTCTTTTCTTCTTCCTTGGGGCTGCTGGCGGGTTTGCTCTTTAAAGCTGATCTGTTAAGTGAGCAGCGGAATACTCAGCTCCTAAAAGTGGGTTAAGCCCATGCTAATGGACATGGTTAGAAATCAGCCCATCATCTTCATTTTCCATCTCATCGCTTCGGTCTCATTCCAGTGGAGGATCATCACCCGTTCGCTGCCAGACAACCGTGCCATCTTTTGTTTTTTTTATAGAAAAAGGAGAGCAATCCAAGGATATGTTCAGATCTCTTCTACCTGGATAGCTTGATTTAGAAAGAATCTTCTCAGCATCATGGCAATTTTTTCCTTTACCCTTTCCCCCCCCCTCACAGCATTTCCTTTTTATGATAGTTTTTCTGTATTCCTATTTCAGATCAACTATGTTAAAATGACTTTTTAAAAATGAATTTGTAAGATGAGATCAAACAGGAGCAGTGCTTTTCTCTTGCATTATATCATTTAGTAGGAAAGTATTTCTTATTTTAAAAGAGCAAAATGCTTGAAATCAAGACTCCTATAACCAGGAATATTGAACAAAAGAATTGGGCAGATAAAACCTTGTAGCAAAGCAATCCAAGGAAAGATGCGGCCTTGGGTACCCTTCAGTTTTTTGCTGCTGCTGTTAAGTACCATTGAATCGGTTTCTAATCACAGCAACTCTGTGTACAAGAGCACCAAACACTGGCCCATCTGTGTAGTCCTCAGAACCACTGCTGTGTCTGAGTCCAGCATTGGCACCTCTGTGTTAATCTATCTCAGTGAGGGTCTTCCACCTGTCCACTGACCCTCTACCTTGTCAAGAATAATGTCCTCACTTTTATGTATTCGAACACTTGATTGTATTTTCACATCTTAGTGCTATTTATTAATAGCATCGAAATAATGCTATTTGTCTTAAAAACTTGTTTTTGATGAGAGCTTACACAACCAATTGGGTTCCCATTTTAAAATTTCTGCTTATATTCTTTAGCGATTACATTTTCACAGTGCCTTAGCATTCTCATGAATTCCAGCTTGTTGTTTCATTTGCAGTAAGTGAATGTCCCTGTCCTCTTACCTTCTCATCTTTGTTTTAAGGTAATAGTTGACTATTTGACCACAAGCTCATATATAGATTTAAATTATTATATGTACATATATGTAATATACTTGGGTAAGTAAGAAAGCATTGCTACAAAGTCATAGAAAACTTTTTTAAAGAATTGTCAAACAGCAAATCTATGGTTTCTTGGCATGCCCTGCATTGGTCCATATACTTTTGAAGGCATCGTATTGCATCTAAACCGTTTTACTATCCTGGGGACTTCAATCTGCTTCCTTTAGTGTCCAATCATACTTTGGATACTATTTGAGCAGGTAGTTGAAGTCCCAGAACCAATCATGTAAGCTTTTTAATCATTTATTATTATTTTAAAATGTTTCATTACAACTCTGAGAATATCCCACCTGAATTAAAAAATGTCTCAAAAACAAATTTATGCACTGAACACTAGTGACTGAAGATCAACCAGACCAGCTGTGGGAGGACATCAGGAACATCATACATGAAGACAGCAAAAGGTCCTTAAGAGACAGGAAAGAAAGAAAAAAAAGTGGATCACAGAAGAGACTGATAACTTGCTCTTGAATGTAGACTAGCTAGAGTTAACATGAGAAATGTTCAAGTCAAAAAGCTGAACAGAAAAGTTCAAAGGGAAGCTCAAGAAGACATTGTAAAACATTATCATGAAATGTGCAAAGACTTTAAATCAGAAAACCAAGACAGAAGAACACACTGAGTATATCTTAAACTAAAATAACTGAAGAAAGATTGTAGGCTCAAGTTGTAATGTTAAAAGACTCCGTGGGCAAGATATTGGTGCTGCCGGAGGCATCCAAAGAAGACGGAAGAACAGAGTCATGCACCGAAAGGCCGGCTCTTCGGTGGAAGCCAAGGCCTTGCTTCCTGTAAGAGTTCTGTGTCAGAAGCCCACAGGGCCAGTTCTAGTCTGCCCCATAGGGCTGCTATGAGTCAGAATGGACTAGTTGGCAGTGACTTTGAGGGTTTTTTGTTTGTTTGTTTTTGACATCAAGTAGATCTTCACTGAAGTAGAGATTATCAGGAAGATATTTGTATTTTATTTACAATAGAACTCAATTGTGTAGCTTGTAACAAACTATACCATCGCCAAGATTTGGAAATCCGGAACACTTAATAGTGCGCCAATGGAACCTCTACGTGGTCCAGGAGGCAGTTAGTCAAAGAGAATAAAAGAATATGACTTGGTTTAAAATCAGGAAAGGTGTCTGTCAGCTTGTATCCTTGCACCATACTTACTCAATCTGTATGCTGACTAAATGATTCAAGAAGCTAGACTATATGAAGAACACAGCATTGCGATTGGAAGAAGGCTCAGTAACAACCTGGGACGTGCAGCTGACAGAGGCTTGCTTCCTAAAAACAAAGAGGACTTGAGGCACTTGCTGATAAAGATCAAGGCCTGCAGCCTTCTGTGTGGATGACGACTATGTAAAGACAACTGGAACCATCACAGGGACGAACAGACAACATCATGATTGACAGAGATGATCAAAGTTGTCAAGGATTTCATTTTACGTAGATCCACAATCAACACTCATTGAAGCAGTCAAGAATCTAACAACATATTATATTGAGCAAATCTGCTACACAAGACCACTTTACAGCCTTCAAAGAACAAAGATGTCACTCTGAGTACCAGCGTGTGCCTGACCGAAGCCATGGTATTCTCATACCCTTTGTGTGCATGTGAGTGCTAGACAAGGAATAGGAATACTGGAGAACCACCAATGCACTGAATGGCGGTGCTGATGAGGAACATGTACAGCCGCGGGCTGCCAGAGGAGCAAACTTATCTTGGGAAAGCTAGAGTGCTCCTCTGACGGCAAGAGGGCAAGACGGCGTTTCCTGCACTTTGGATATGTTATCAGCAGAGACCAGTCCCTGGAAAAGGACATTATGTTGGTACGGTGAGCGGGTCAAGGTAATAGAGAAAGAAAGCTGCTCCAGAAGATAGCTAGACCCCCATGGCTGTAACAGCGCGCTAAAAATAACAGCAATTGTGAAGATGCCGCAGGACAGGGCTGTGGTTTGTTCTCTTATACACATGCCTCACAACGGGCATGATGGCACTTACAAACCATTCTTGAAATAGGAATAAGGAACACTAGTTTGTAGGGCGGATTTCACCCATGAATTACCATTGAAGGAAGCATCCCACAGCATGACTGTATGGATAAGGTTATTTTAAAACTGGACAAAACGGGATTTTAAATGAAGTATTATAAATCATTTCAAATTGATTTGCCAAATATTAAGTCTGTTATTGATCTGTAATTTAGACTTTAATAACTTCATAATCATTATGTAAGCACTGTAGTGTTTGTTAT